GTGCAGCTGCATTCACCCATACCCAGGCTGTAGATCTGGGCCACCTGCTCCATGGAGCAGACAGAAGCCCCCCCCCCCAGGAGGATGGGGCTGCAGCCACCCAAGTCATGACTGCAGATCACAGACTCCCACTCCCCCATGCAAGTGCAGCCACCCAAATCATGGATGCAGACCCAGGCATCTCTTCACTCCTGGGGGCACAGGAAGGTCCCCTTGCCCTCACAGGCTTGAAAGCACCTGCTCCTGCTGCCTGGCTTCTCCCTGCTGTCGATGTCCACTCCAATCTAGGAGCAAAGTAGGGATGAGCCCTAGTGCTATTGCAGTCCGTCCAGGTGTGCACACACTAGGGGCAGGGCTGATACACCAGCCCCTGGACGCCTTGCCCCCACTCCAGACTTTGGGCACCAACAAACATAGGAGGGAAGCCGAGGGAGCACTGAGGGCCCCCCTTCACATTTATAGCCAGGGAGTCATGAGCGGCAACAGGAGGCAGACGGATTCCTGGGCAGAAGAAGGAAGGTCCCTGGTGAGATCCCACATTCAAGCCAGGGAGAGCCTGAAAACTGGGGGTGCTGAGCTGCCCCACCAGAGTGGGAACTGGTGGCGCCTTTTCCAGACTGCCCATGGCTGCCCACGGACCAGTAGGAATGCAGTTCCTCCCCTCTGAGACCCATAGAAGCCCGGGGCTCAGCCAGAGCAAAAGTCCAGGGATAACAACGTACAGACAGGAGCAACCCACTCTAGGGCCTCCTCTCTGCTGAGAGCTGCAGAGATGACAGAGACAATGGGTGATGACAGTATGACCTGCCTACAGAGAGGAGCTACCCTCTCTGCCAATAGATGAATACCTGTGGGGGTGACTTGCCTAGCAGAGAGGAATTAACCTCTCTGCTAGAAGCTGAACACTCATCAGAAAACCCAGGCTGCAGAAAGGAGCTGCCCACCGTGTGTTTACTCTGAGCTGTTCTGTCACTCAATAAAGCTCCTCTTTGTCTTGCTCACCCTCTGCTTGTCTGCATACCTCATTCTTCCTAGGCACAGGACAGGAACTCAGGACCCACCAAAAGAGGCTAAAAGAGCTGTAACGTAAACGGGGATAAGACATGTCCCTTGCTCACCATGTTGTGGTGAATAGAAGGAGAGACGAGTTACGGCCATTCAGGGAACCCAGATCTGGGAGCTTCCTAAGCCAGGGCTGTGACTCCTTCTTTTTTTGTTTGTTATTGTTTTTGTTTTTTTGAGGCACAGTCTTGCTCTGTTGCCCAGACTGGAGTGCAGTGGTGCAATCTCAGCTCACTGCAACCTCTGCCTTCTGGATTCAAGCAATTCTCCTGCCTCCGCCTCCTGAGTAGCTGGGATTACAGGCGTGTACCACTATGCCCGGCTACTTTTTGTATTTTCAGTAGAGTCAGGGTTTCACCATGTTAGTCAGGCTTGTCTCGAACTCCTGACCTCATGATCCACCTGCCTTGGCCTCCTGAAGTACTGGGATTACAGGCGTGAGCCACTGTGCCCAGCCTGTGACTCCTTCTTTGAGGCCTTGTGGTTCCTAGCATCTCCAAGTTTCAGGGCACCACCACGTTCTCTGGTGCCAGCTATGGAAGCTGCTTGTGGTGCACCTGGTCAAGCCACAGCCTTGTGGAGAGCCGGTGCCTATGCTGGCATCTAGAGCTGCCCACCCCACTGCAGCAGCCGGCATGTCTGACTGCACAGTGATTGGACCCCACCCTTGCTCACACACTCCTTGCTGCTCCATGCAGTCTCCCTTGGCAGGCATGGGATCTAGGCCAGCAGCATGAGTAAACTTCCAGGCTCAGAGGGCAGAATGAGCCCAGCGGGCCAGAGCAAAACTTGGGCAAAAGTGCCACTGGCCACAGAGGTTTCCGGCTGGAAAAGCACACCCCAAAGATCCCATAACAGTATAATTTAGCAGGACTTGGTTTATCCAAGAAGGAAGGCGGGAAAGATACAGGCCCTCTTTGAGCTGCTGCTGTTTCTCTGGTTCCACTCCCCACTCTACCTCCTGCCTTATACCATAAGTCCCAGAATCTCATCTGATTGTAGTTATAATCTCACATTGCTGTTTTGTACCATTGGCTTTTGTTCTTTTTTGTTTTTGTTTTCTGCTTTTCCCTTTTCCTGAAATTAGAATCCCAATTTGCTACTCTCCACCCAAAATATTTGTACTCAGATCACCTCTGTAATTCTTACAAATTTTTAAAGATTTGATACATCATCACTGCTTTCAGGAAATCTTTCTTGATTGCAGGCTACTTAGGGGATCTCTCTCTCTCTTTTGAGATGGAGTTTTGCTCTTGGCATCCAGGCCAGAGTGCAATGACGTGATCTTGGCTCACTGCAACATCCGCCTCCCGGGTTCAAGCCATTCTCCTGCCTCAGCCTCAGGAGTAGCTAGGATTACAGGTGCCTGCCACAGCGCCCAGCTAATTTTTGTATTTTTAGTAGAGACAAGGTTTCACCATGTTGGCCAGGCTGGTCTTGAACACCTGACCTCAGGTGATCCTCCTGCCTTGGCCTCCCAAAGTGAGCCACCACGCCTGGCCAGGGGGTCTCTTTTTTTGTGTTTGTAAAGCATCTAGTGCCTACATCTGTTGTTAAAATTATCTAGTTATATGTCTAGATTCTAAGAAATTTGATGATTATCTGTCAATATTGATTTACATTTTAACCTTTAATGCTTAGCCATAAGACTTACCTAAACTTGGGTAATGCATGTTTAATAGAAGAGGATCAACTAGGATTTTGAGGTGATAATATAAGATCCATGTTTACAGAATATTTAACACATACGTTTGGCTTCAATCAGATGGCATGTAGAATGTAGCAGGGAAGAGACAGAATTGGAAGGTAGGGTTTGGCAGGGTGTGGAGGTCTTTGACTATCTGACATTGGGATTTCGAAAATATATTCTTTATATAACAGAAAATTATGAGATAACTTTTGAGTTATAATTTATGCATAAAATTGCATTGATGATGTGTAGAATGCATTTAGGTAAAGAAATTATGGAAGTAAGAAGTATTATTAATTTATTCAACTCAAATTTATTGAGTACCTACCAGACATCAGACCCAATTCTGCAATACTCTGGAGTAAGGGCCTAAAATAGAACTGTAATAATGGAATTAAGGGATAGAAGAATTGGGAGTAATTGTGAATAAAGAATCAATAGGACATCAGACCTGACCATATTTGTGCCATGATGGAAAAAAGAACATTAAAGGTAACAGATTCCTAAGCTTCAGTTATTCTGCCAGATGGCACTATTGACAGATAAAAGACCAGCTAAAGCAAAAGCTTGTAGGGGAAATTATAAGAAGATGAGTTACAGACATTTTATTTTGAACATGTGAGAGAACTTTTAAATAGAAATGTCTGCCACTAAAGATGAAGGACTGGATTTCCGAAGAGATGAGAAGCCTATGGACACAGATGTCTACGCTACTTAAGTAGAGATTATAACTGAACTATGAGGATTCACTAGATAATTGAAAAAAAGTGTAGGGGACATGAGAAGAGACTGGAGGATTACAATTGGTAGGTGAGAGAAAAATGGTATTAATAGTAAATAACTTTCATTTATTAAATACGTGACAAATATGCTAAGGCATTTTTATATTTCGTCTCATTTTATCCTTTCACAGTTCCATAAATTAGTCATTATGGTTTCCACTTAAAAGATGAGAAAACTAAAGTTTAATGACTATGTACCTTCCCTGTAGTCAGGTAGCTAAGCAGGTGGCAGAGAAAGAATTTGAACCTAGGTTTACCTTACTATCTTATCCTGAAATGCTTAGGTAACTAAGAGAAAAAGAGGGCAATGATGTATTACAGAAATCAAAGGAGAGAATTACAGGAACAAAGAAACAAATTGGGAAATCGACTAGCTTTTTCTATTATTATTTGTAACACTTAGTGTCTAGAAATTTATATATATTATTATCCCCATTCAAGAATTATATACATAGAGATGTATATGTACCTATATACAGACATACACACACACACACACACATATATATTAAAATGGGTGTTCATCATAAAAAAAACTGTTTGGAAATAAGAAAAGAAAAAGAAACACATAGCGTTAGACTATAAAGAAGGACAAATGCAATTAAAGATGATATAAAATTTACAAATGAAAATCAAAACAAATTATAACATGCAGCGCAGCAAGTGCATAGATACAAACCGATATATTTAACACGGTATTATTATATATCAGTAACAGGTGACAGAAAATGTAATGAAAAGATGCCATTTGAAGTATCAACAAAAATACAAAACTATAAATGATGTGTTGCATTTAAACATAGCACTTTATAAAACCATATTGGAATATAACAAACACAGAAATTGATCCATGTGCTGTATTAATGAATTGAATGTATCTGTTACATAAACATGCCAATCATCTACAAGTCAATAATTTCAATCAAAATCTCAGGTTGATTTGGGAGGAGTGGGACATGTAAGAATGAGGGCCAAGAAAAAGACGTTTCAAAGGAGACTGAAATGGTGGCACTTGCCCTACTATTTACTAAAGGTTATTATGAAGCTAAATTTGTAATAAAATATCAGTAGGAGTAAACAGTCAATAGAAGCAAAGAAATAAACTAATGTAATATGGAATTTTAAAATACGTGAGAGCAGTAATAGCAGATCACTGGGGAAAAGATGAACGTAGCCAGCACAACAGCCTGTGGAAATGGTGCATTGCTTAGTCAATTGTATTAGAATTTCAGTTAAAATTTTTAAATTCGATATAAATACAAACCATAAATTTAAAGACTCATGAATTAAGCCATTTAATATTTCCTTTCATCAAATAATACCATTAAGAAGTAAAACCACAAGATACACACTAGGAATCTGTATTTGTAATAATGTATATATAACTGATTATTATTTAGGATATGTAAAAAGCTTCTACAAAGTAATAAGAAAAGACAACCAAATGAGGAGTACAAAATACACACACACAATATTCAACTGCAAATGAAGCAGTAGCATATTGTTTACACAACAGCCAAGTAGAAAAAAATGTGACCACACAGAACATTTAAAAAGATGTACAACAATTTAAAAAAAAATGCATGCATTGTTGATGGTAGACAGATTTTGGGAAACAACTTGGCAGCATCTAGTGAAGTTGAAGCTGCCAGTGTTCCGGAATACAAAACGCTGATGGCTAATGATTAAATTGTGCTACATTTATACAAGACAGCAGGGATTTTCACAAGTATTCCTTCTGGCTAGTTTATTCCTTTCCTATGGGGAAAATACCTGGAAAGTATTTCTGTTTATTTATGTTTTACTAGATACTGTTCTAAGGCTCAGAGTAATGATGAGAGGTCTTGACAGAATAAAATAAATAAAATAAGTATAACTTATATTTTACTATTACCTACATGTCAGACACTGTGTACTGTGGTTTACAAATATTCAAAACACTAATATTCAAAATGCTCTTCAATATTGTTATCAAATGATGAAATTAAGACTCGGAGATGCTAAGTTACTTTCTAAAGATTAATTAGCAAGTGACTGAATAAAATATGATTGAAACCCAAATATATGTGGGTTCAAAAAACATGCTTTTTTCTACTATACCAGTCTTCTCCACATGGAGTGATTGCAAATGGTACATAAAACATTATGAATTTTATATTCTAAATTTTCTTTGACACATATTGTTGAGGACATGACTGACTATATTAAGTCAAGTAAATTTGAAAAATGTTTCTCTCTATATATAATAGGTAAGACACAGACTTTTTAAAAATCCTAAGTATGATACATAAACATACAAGTTTTGAAAATCACTGTACCACATCATGTTGAAGGAACGTGTGCCTTTCCTAGTCTCTGGTCCCAAGCCAAATGTGGCTCCAGCAGACAGTATGAAGGTCAGTGTAAGACTGAAAGTCAGTCAGCACTTGCTACAACTCCACCATCCCCCGCAGAAAAGTACTGAATTTTTGGTTTCATCTATGGCCACTGTTGATCCCTGGGGTCACTATATCCTCAGCCCCCAGCATTGGCCTACTCCCAGCCCCCACTCATGCCAGTGTCCCAATTCTCTTTAGCTGCCTCCTCACAGCCTCCTTGATCTCCTTGTTGCGCAAGCTGTAGATGAAGGGGTTGAGGAAGGGTGTGAGCACTGAGTAGACCACTGCCAGGGCGCGGTCATAGTCCAGTAAGTAGCTCTTCTTCAGCCGCACATACATGAAGAGAATGCTCCCATAGAAGATGAGAACCACAGTGAGGTGGGAGGCACACATGGAGAAGGCCTTCCTCTTGCCGGCAGCTGAGGGAATTCTGAGCACTGTGCAGATGATCTGCACGTAGGAGCAGAGGATCAGCAGGAAGGTGGCTAGGATCTTGCAGGAATTTATAACAAAATCTACTAGGACATTTATAGACGTATCGGTGCAAGCCAAGCTCAGCATGGGGGGGATGTCACAAAAGATGTGCTGAATGCGATTGGGGCCACAGAATGGGAGGCATGAAATCAAGGCAATTTCAACTACTGGCCCAGCCAAGCCTCCCAACCAACAGCCAATGGCAATCTCTGCACAGAGTGTTAGGGTCATGAGGGTGGGGTAGTGGAGGGGCCGGCAGATGGCTAAGTACCTATCGTAGGCCATAGCGGTCAGGAGATAGCACTCAATTGCTCCAAGGGAGTGAAAGAAATAGACCTGCAGGAGACATCCAGAGAATGAAATGGTCTTCTTCTCACTGAGCAAATTTGCCAGCATCTTAGGGATGGTGGCAGCTGTATAGCCAAGCTCTGAGAAGGAGAGGTTGCTGACAAAGTGGTACATGGGTGTGTGAAGCCGGGAGTCCAGGAAGACCACCAGGAATATCAGCAGGTTTCCCACGACAGTCGTGAGGTAAATGAGAAGCAACAAGAGAAAGAGATAAATCTGGACACCCTGGAGATGGGGGAAGCCCAAGATGATGAACTCTGTTACCTGGCTCCAGTTCCCTGTGTCCATTGCTCACCATTCATGTGCCTAGATGTGTGGTGTGGAAGCACAGGAAAAAAAAGTTGAGCTATAGAGGTTCTAACAAGAAGGCAACCCTCAAATTACTATTGCCCTCCCTTCTCTCACCTCCAGAGTAAAGCCCTCTCAGTAACTGCTTTGAGAGGTCAACATTTCAATTCCATCCCTCCATGCCCTTCATGGCAACAGCCTCCTTCAGACTATTCACCTTTATATTTAGTCTTCCCTGATTAAAGCAGCTCAGTTTTGGCCTTCCTAATCCATTCTGTAACCAGTTGACTTTCTCAATAGAATCTATATAGATTTTAGAGATTTAAGTATTTCGAATCCAAAGTGTATATTAACATTTATACATATTGTTTGTCTAAGGGACAAATCATTTATAGTCATAATATATTGATACTGTACTGGACAAAGTATATATAATTTAAGTATTATTTTCTAATTTCTCATTTCAATTTGTTGTCTTCTTCAACTTTCTGGCTACAAAAGAATCAACTGTTTTCCCTTCTGCTCCCTCATATTCCTCTATGAGAACTCAGGTCTACTAGCATCTTTCATGGCATATACGTCAGAATTTAGACCTCTTTTGGACACTGGTGAGACTCCAAGTCAAAATAAGAAGGTCAAAGTAAATAAAAGAGCCAAAGAAAGAGAGGAGGCAGATCTATCTTTCTGAATTTCAAGTTCAGACTGTGGCCACTTTATCAATTGTTTCTGCCATTTCCCCCCCTCCTTCAACTCCAAATGTTCTTTTCTGGTTTATTGCTTCTGTAGATAGTAAATACACATGCTCTACTGTGTTGAGGTCACTGTAACAATAATTGATTATTTTCAGTACTCTAGGTATTATACTTAGAACAGGGACTAAACAGATAAATAAAATGTGGCACCTGATGTTAACAAACTAATATTTTAATACAGAACATAGAGAAACAACTAATTATTATACAGCTCTTTCATGGAATACTCTATCAACATAAAAGCATGCTATTATTCTCATTTACTAAACAGACAAAAAAGCAAGTGCCTTAAATTCTTTCTTTTTCCTCACTTATCCCACAGCCACCACTCTATTTTTTTTTCTATGTCCCTGAAAGAAAACTCCTCCAAGAGTCGCCTATACGCATTGCCTTTAATTCCTCTCTTTAAGTTCCTTCTTAAACCCACTTAATTACCTAAGATTTGCTGGATCCGGTGGTCATTTCTCATTCCTCAGCTTACTTGGACTATCTGTTTCCTGACGGTGTTGATTTATCCTGTCTGTTCACACACCTTTTTCACTTGATTCTCAGGGTACTATACTTTCAGTTCCTTCCTATCTTATTAGTCATTCATTCTTATTCTCCATCATTAGTTTCTCCTCCATGCCCCACCCTTTTAATGTCACAGTGCCAGTGCCCAGGGTCAGTGTTTAATCTTTTTTTTTCCTTCGGTATGAACTCAACTCCTCTGCTACTACCATCTAATACCATATCTTTAAACACTATAAATCTGTTGAAGATATCTGAATCCATATCTCAGGCAATATTTCTCTCCCCTACTCCAGACGCATATATTTGACTGCCTACTCACATCTCCTCTTGGGAGTCTAAGAGCCATCTCAAACTGAACTCCTGAAGGCTCTACCCATAGTCTTCCTTATTGCAAATGATGGCAATTGCAGTCTTCCAACATACAAGCCAAAACCCTGCAGTCATCCTTGTTTCTATCCTTCTCTCATATATCCAGGAATGGACTATGTTTTACCACCTTGGTTCAAGTCACTTTCATCTTATCTCTGTTACTGTAACTGACTCCTAACAGATCTTCCTAATTGCATTTGTCCCCCTGCAGCCTCTTCTCAACACACCAGGATGATCCGGTTAAATTCTAAATTAGGTTCTGCGTTTCCATCGATCAAATGTGTTCAATGACATATCATTTTATAGCCTTTGCTGTAGCTCTTTCCTTGTTCTAGAATCTCTTTCACCACCTGGATGGCTCTTTGATTTATTTCATCTTTGCTCAAATTTCACCAGCTCAACCACCTGGGCCACTCTATATAACTGCATTGTGCCTTCATTTTTACATCCATATTCTGTACTACCATTGCCTTCCTCTACTTTATTTTTAACTTTTTTCCAGAGGACTTATCATGTTCTAAACTATAAAATGTACTTATTTATTATCCCTGCTGTTTATTGCTTCTCTCCTCTTTGAGAGTATAAGATCCATAAGGGCAATTTTTTTTTCCTTTTCTATTTTGTTTACTGGTGTATGTCAAGTGCCTAGAGCCATGTCTGAAAAATAGTAACAACTCAATAAATATTTGTGTAATATGCAAACCTAGTAAGATAAATGCTAATTTGTATATGTAGTAGGAGTTATGAACCATGGACTGGATATGGTGATAAATCAGGAAAATTTCATAGAACACATAATTTTTAAAATTATTATTATTGTTTGGAGACAGTGTCTCAGTCTATCACCCGGGCTGGAGTGCAGTGGCAGGACCTCTGCTCACTGTAGCCTTGACCTCCTGGGCTAAAGCGTTCCTCCCGCCTCTGCCCCACAAGCATCTGGGACTATAGGCATGTGCTACCACGCCTGGCTAATTTTTGTATTTTGGGTAGAGATAGGGTTTAGCCATGTTGCCCACGCTGGTCTTGAACACTTGGGCTCAAGTGATCCACCTGCTTTCGTCTCTCAAAGTGCTGGGATTACAGGCATAAGGCACTGTGCCCTGCCAGAAGTTATAATTTTTATTTGAAGCCAAGAAAGTGTCAGAATTTTTTAGATAGAAAAATGAAAAAAAAAAGTATTTGAAGCAAAAGGGATTGCTTGTGTAAAGTCAAAGAGCTATGAAAGACACTGAGTGTTCTTTTTCTCCCCTCCAGTCTTCTTATCACTTCTTCCCTCTCCAGAATCCTAAAATTCATCCAAACTTTGTTTACTCTAATTTTTTTTGGCATTTTCCAAACCTAGGCAACATGTCTATCCCATACACAAGAGCCTTTCTCAAAGACTTAGTATAGGAAGTTTGTCTACTAAGATTCCAGAGACCTACTTGTGGGCCAAACTTTTATATGGGTGATTTTGGTTCAGCATACTTACTTTATTATCCAATATTTGTTTGTCTTAGTTTTTCTCACTTCAGATCCATGTCTACCCACTGCCCAATCCTGCCTTCTGTTTCTTTTGAGTCTTGGAGGCATACCTGCCTTCTATAAAGGATTATCCTTAAATTTCTATTTCTTCTCAGATCCTTCTTTTCTAGATGTTCTACATTCATTCCCTTCTAAATATAAATGTAAGGTTCCATTCTAGGAGCTACCTCTTTCCTTTTCTGGCCTCCAGTTGTCAGAATCTAGACAACTCATCTGAGAGTGGGACTAAATTTTCTAACTAAATTTTCAGATCTGCATGGAGGACCAGTCACATGATTGAATATGAGAAGCCAGTATCTTGTCCTCTCCTTTCTCAGAAAGTACTTTCCACATAACTCCAAAGACTTACTATCATGCTATACATTGTATCTTCATTTACTAATGACCTGCTGTTGTTCACTCCCTCCATACTCTGTCTAAGCAATCAAAGGATCAGATCAAGTATTATTTTCCACGGAAAACTAGCACCCCCAAATCTCTCATCTTCCAAGTTCACAATTCTCACAGGTTTGGACCATTTCCTTCTCTTCTTCAGAGTCCAAAGTTAGAAGAGAACTTCTTGCTCACTTCCTATATCGGATTTGCAATATTATGCTCAACCACTCCTGGGGCCTGGAGGTGTTGAAGTTTATCACTTTGATGGAACCTGTGGGAATAAGTTAAACCATAAAACGAATTCTTCTCACATAAAACTTGGATTCTTGATAGGGTCCTTGTAGAGGCAGAAGCCCATGAGGCTTCTGAGCAGATCTCCTGGGGTCACTAACATGCTCTCTCGGGAAGGGAACTGACATACGGCAAGTTTATTAGCTAGTAGTCCTTCATTAACTGTTAGTTACTACAACAATAACTGCCAGTCCAAGTTGAGATAGAACATCTCTCAAGGCAATTACTCCCTTTAACAAATAACAATAACCGATGTGGAAACTAGGTTCAAATGGGTTCCTGAACTGCATGACCTGGGAGTAAGCACATACATCTCAATTATGATAGGATCTTTATAAAATTTGACTGACCTTCTCTGACCCTGAAAGGGTGAGGACAGGAAGACACTGAGGACATAAATATCATCAAGGCCAACTCCTAATCTTGTCTGTTGCTCATATTTACAGCAGTTACATGTTGTCTTACACACTACAGTCTCCTCTACTCTAGTGTTACCTGCTCTGTAAAGAGTACTGCCTCAGAATCTTGGATTTCAATCCCAGCCATTCTTCCAAGTACTTATGTGACATTAGGCACCTCAATGAGCCTTGGATAGCAACATTGCCAAGAAAGTGGATTTTAAATACTCTCACCACAAATTAAAAATAATAAGTACTGTACGCGAGGTGATAAATATGTTAATTAGCCTAATTTGATCATTTCACCCTGCATACACATATCAAAAAATCACATATATAATTACTATTTGTCAGATAAAAATTTAAAAAAAATAAAGATTTTCTTTCCTCATATTAAAAATGTGATCATGTAAAAAGAAAAAAAGTACTTACAAACTATAATACAAACTGTGAGAAGAATTAACTAATTTTTGTCCCATTCCCAGTTCCCCTCACATTTTCGACATTCTTTATCCAAGTTTATGTTTTTTGACCTCCTAATCTCTTTCTTGAAGAATTTTCAAATTGAGTTGGAAGTATTTAATATTTTGTTCATGGTAAATAGATTTTTAATTAATAACGTAATATTTGAGACAAAAGGTTATTTTTTGACTAATATACATAGAGTTTAACTAATAATTTTATTTACTTAATGACTACAGGTTTATTCAGGTTTTCTAAATCCCTATAAGGCAATTAAGGGTTAAAGAACCACTACTTTTTAAACTAAATTTTCCAACTCTGTCAATTTCA